TCCTATCCACTGGCACCTTCCTGTTAAATCGGCGCCCTCCTCACAGACGCCCTCCTGTTCAATGTCATCCTCTTGGGCAAAGGCGCCCTCCTCACCATTGCCACCCTCCTATTAATCGTCACCCTTCCACTCATTGGCGACTTCCTGTTGATGACCGCCCTCCTACCCATTGGCGACCTCTTGTTGATCGCCACCTTCCTATTTATTGGTGCTCTCCTGTTCCTTGCCGCCCTCTCACCCATGGGGGCACCCTCCTGTTGATTGTTGATCGGAGCCTTCTTACCTATTGGCGCCCTTCTACCCATTGGCGTCCAAGTTTCGGTGATTGAAGGTGCTCAACATTGTATGCATCTGTGAGAAGGTCATGAGGGCTGGTCGAGGTAATTTGGATGAGAAGCCCGAGAAGGCTAATCGATCTCATGAGGAACAGCCCTGTTATGGTTTCTCTTTCTGTTGTAACCGCCTTCTCGTTGTGCGCTTGTGTTTACGCACCTCGCGCTTCGGTATCAATCCGATATGGTGATCTGGTGTGTATGCCACCGCCAATAAACTTTTCTACATCGTCACCCATGGGCGAAGCTTTCTATACAGCTTGTGTGGCACCGGCCCAACCAAACCTTAGGTATTTTTTACACCTTCAAATTTGGTTAAAGAGCGGGAAGAGCTTTGAACAGTGAGCACGCAAAAGATGTGCCTAAAAAGCGGAGGAAAAGGTTGTTTTCAAAAATTTCGCGCGCCTTCGGCGCAGCATTTCAAAAACTCTTCTTTACTAGGAACTTAGTACCTATGCCAATAACTTGCAACCTTTTTGTCACGTGTGAGATGAACCCGCGCCAGGAGGTTTCTTCAGACATGCGGTTAAAAAGGATCCGAAAAAGGTGCCACTACGCTACGAGCTTCCGTTTTTTCCTGGGGGAGAGAGGGAAGTGGGTGAGCGGGTGGGGTCACCTTTTGGTACATCGCTCTTACACGTGCTCTAAAAATGCAAACCATAGTCGCTAAAAGCAAGGTCATCAGGTCATGTCAAGTGATCTAACTTAAAAAAAGTTGTCACTTGTCATTGTCACTTAAGCTGAGCGGGTGACTTGACCATTTTTGGCCTGGAGTAAAAACAAAATACACACGATGCCAAATCAATGCAGCATAACCTAGCAAAAAAAAAAAACTGGTGGCGTGGTAAAAACAACGCCTCCACCACCACCACCCCCCCCCCCCGCTGAGCGGATTTTTATCTCGCGACCGTATGGCGCCCTCCTGAGGTGAGGTGGCGCCCTCCAAACCCTTGGCCCCCCCCTTCGCGATTTTCTAAATACGCCGCTGCCGACGTAGGTCCAGAAGCTGGCTTTAGCCCTCAGAGATCGGCATCGAGCGCTCAGAGGGGCCCATCAGAAACCTATGTGGTTCGCAAAAAAAAAAAATAGGCCCTCGACATAAGGCTCGGCATGCAAATTCTTTAGACAAGGCACTGCCACTCAAACACACGTTCAACAACGAGAAGTGTGATTATTATTGTCTGATGGGGCAATGTGAGGAGGCTATAAACTAATATACAAGCATGAGTCGGATGGCCTACTACTTTTTTTTGTTTTCAAAAAAAAAAAAAAATATTAATGGTGTCAGGGCTGTGATGAAAAATAAGTGGTCTAAATCCGTTGAGAAAACAGGATTTGGGGGTACCCTAGGTTTGGCTCCTTCAGTCTCTGGCCCCCCCAGTGAAAATTCCTTAGACGAGGCCCTGCCTCGTCGCGCCACCTCGGAGCGTCTGGCGCCATTTCGGGGCAGCTCATGACACGTGGACGGCGTCGTCCATCCCCTGACCTCCCGCGCCCCGCGCTCCGCCGGCTATGAAGGCCCGTCGGCGCAGCCACCATTGCGGGCCTGCATGACTAGCTATAGTGTTCCATGGCTGGTACAGGAACCTGGGTAGATACCAGTGGATAAGGTGCTTATTCTCAGTGGCAAATAAGGGATATGACACACTGGTGTTATTCATGCCACACGCTTTGTTTGAATTATTTATAGTCTGACCTTCGAACCCGTGCAGTCTCAACTTTGACTCATTCCCGTCTGCTCTTGGATCCGTACTGTCTGACCCTTCACCCGTCTCGTCCGACCTTTGACCCCAGCCAGACTTATCTTTGACTCCGTTCTGACTGATATCAAGCTCATCTCCCGTCTGACCTTTGCGACCTGACCTTTGACCCTGTTCCCTTTGTCATTTGACTCCATCTCATCTAACGTTGACTCCGTCCGGTATAAGTGTTGACTCTGTCCCGTATGACCTTTGACCCCAGACCGTCTGACCTTGATTCCATCTCGCTTAACGTTTGACCCCGGCACTAGACGGAATCGGTATTAGGGTCCCCTAATAAAGTTTAGTGGCCCCTCTGGAGTGTGAAGACCAGCTGGGTCGGAGGTGGGTTGGGGGAGCGGCAGTCCGTGGGGAGGGGGCGAGGGCGGGGAGGGCGAGGGAGGAGACGAGAGGACAGACGTCAGTCAGTGAGAGGGGACGACGGTGACAACAGAGGCGGGCCGCGAGTGGCGCGTCTCCCACCCCCCATTAAGCTGTAACTGGCCGGCTGCCATGCGTACCTACTGCGTACTGCGCAGGCCCGACCGCACGAACCATGAGCCATCGTCGGAGAACTGAGTCAGGTAAACCGTGAGCTTCCACAAATCTAGTCTACAGATATCACGAAACCATGGCAAATTATCACGAAGCTCATTCCGATTGGCTTCAACTTTCCTCTGGGATCCCTTCCCTGCAAAGTCATGGATTCAGCTTTAGAGGAATTTGCTTCGGTTAGGATTAGCTTGAATTATCCATCCCGCAAATGCTTGAGAGGAATTCAGAGAATGGGCTATCGCAAGCACGTCATGTCCTTCAACCCTGACTTTGCGATGGTTATGTAAGTTTGGTTTCCTCCCACATACATACATCGGAAAACGCATCTTGCAGGCTTGCAGCGAATATTCTTTCGGAAAAGTATGGATGCACACACAAAAATCTGAGCACTCGGCACGAGTTATCAGATAGGCAGCAGGCCTCCTTTATATAATGAGTCTTTATGTAATGATTCAAATGTGTAGGTAAATAAGCGTGATTCGTGCCTTTGCTATCTGTTCGTCCGTGATCCATCCAAGACATAAAATGTATCAGATATTCGAAGTTTTCATGTTTTTGCAGAGTATTGTCGCTTTAGTTTAATAGCTGACTACCAGCAACGCGCAGCGGCCGCTTCCCTCGAGAACGTCTGGGCCGAATTCGCTCAAATTTGGTACACCTTTAGCCTTTAGGAACCGGTTAAAATGGTGCTCCACACAAGATAGTTGGAGGCTACACTTCGCTCTTCTGCACTGCACGACTCTTTCGTGCGCTCGCTCGTTTATCGCCTCAAAAGGCGTTTTACTGGTATTTGAGCAAGTTGAGCAAATAAACGTGACGTGGCACGTGTATGCAATGTCGCCTGCCATGAGGCATCTTGTAAGTTGTAAAAGCTGTACTGAAGGTGACGGACATGCATGTAGCGCGGATAAGTGTAGGAAACTTGAATGGGTTTGCGGGAGCAAGAACAAAACCACGTTACTAAATGTTATCTTATTTTGAACGGCTCACCTTTGACTCGACAACATACCTTCTAGTTGCTCATAGTTCAATATTAAGTACGTAAATAAATTGCATAGGCATCTTACATTCCCTGGTTAATAAAAAAAAAAAACATTCGTTATACATTTACCTATATCTTTTGAAATATTCTTCTGAGAGGAGATTATAAGTAGGCATATTGACTGTACTAACCAACGTACAGCATTCCTGCAGTTCGCCGTCAACCCCTTCTGCCATCTAAAGTCGGTACAATAGAACTGTCACCGGTTACAATGACACCGTGGATGCCAGGTTCGTCCGGCTCGGCAAACCCTGGACGAACAGCAGCCCGTGTCTGTGTCTGTGTCGATTTCTGACCGATCCGCACGGCAGCCTCTGTGTCTGACTCTGTACTGGTCGCCGCGCCGACCGGCCACCGCCAGCCGGTGACCGCGCCCCTGGACGCCTGCTGTGCCGCCGAGCCAGTACCTGGACACCTGCTGCACCGCCGGGCTTCTCTGCCCGGCACCGGCGCCGCGTTACCAGTCCCAACCATAGGTACACTGGAAACACTACTCTAACTGAATAGGCATAAACGCTTATATTTTGGTTTTCTCTAGAAATCACTTTGGCTGAAACGTTCGGAAATAATTGAAGCCAAGCCTCTGCTGGAACGCCATTTATTTCGATTATTCTAGTCTTTTCATTTGCTTGATAACTTTAGCTAAAACAGTACGCTGTAATTGAAAATATGTGCGGGGTAGCAGTTAATAGTTATACAGCCTTTTGGTGTCATTTTTATTCATTCTAACAATGGAGAGAAGGAAGTAAAAAAGCAGGGAACAAAGCTAGTTAGCTTTCCGAGCTCCTTGTCACATTTAGGGCATGGAGCGCGGAACGGTTGTAATGGAGCCAGACATCTGAGAGATATTGGCTCAGCTTGAATGCACTCTTTACCAATCATTGTCCGAAATCCTCAAGTGCCATGGGGGAACGTATCTCTATCGTCTCTCTCCTTTGGCAGCGGCAGGGACTGTCGTCGGTCGGCTGGACGGGAACAGAGCCGCGGTCGGAGGGCGGTGCCGGCCGGGGAACAGAGCCGCTCTCGGAGCGCTACCGGCCAACCCGCGGGCTGATGGACCATATCCGCGGCCCCGCCGGCCGGCCCCGGTGGCGTGCCTGGTGTATTGTGTCCCTCTGCTGACGGTAGCCAGCGCCGCTCTGCTCGGCTCGACTCACGGCCCCATCGGCGGCCCGCCCCGCGGTCAGCACGGCAGACCGACGTCTGTCAGACCGACACGGCTGGTGGTGGGACCGGGCTGAGTGGGAGACTGATGGACCGCAGTTGGTATGTATTCTATAGTCTTTGCATTGCTGCGATCAGTACATTGGCAGATTCCAGTGGAAAAACAAATTTCACTCTAGGTCACTTTATTTAACCACTTATACACACATCTTTAAATAAATGACTTGCGACAAAAGGCCGACGATACCTCAGCGGCATTAAATATATCAGAATAACACAAGTTCCGAGTGCAATTATTCGTGCTAAAACGACGACGCTTACACAAACGCACATTACAAAATAAACCAAACTTAATGTGACTCCAAGAGACACCGAGAACGCATTCAGTCGGGAGCAAGGGCACATTAAGTTCTGGCCACTTCTGCGGACCGCATTCACGCCATGTGCATGAACCCCACATGGACACGAGCACACAAAGAAAGCACACAAAACGAATATCCGCCGCTAAATAGTCTGATCACGAAAACCGCCTTTAATCGTCACAGCTCATCGTCCCCCGCACGGTACCCCGTCCTTCGTGACGCCTCAGCCCCCGCAGGACCCCACGCCGGCTTCAGAAGCTGCCTGCCGTCTGCTGAATCCCCGCCCGCCCCCGCTCGGTGCCGGAGTGTGTCGAGACCGACGCGACCGACGCGACCCTAGACTGCCGTTTACCGGCTGACGTTAGAGGAGCTGGTGGCCGATCCTGAGGAGGTCCTCAGCGCGGCCTTGTCGTCTCCGCCGGAGGCCGAGCGCGGCCGGTACAGCGGACACGCGCGCGCCAGCTGGTCGGCGACATCAGCTCTCCCGAGCTCACCGAGCGCCGAGTACAGCCGACCCAGGGTCACTCCAGCAGCCACACACTCGTCGAGCACGCGCGCCGTCCGGCTGACGGCCGGGTTATCTCCGGCGTCGAGTCGCGCCAGCCGCTCGGTCAGCCCCAGCTGAACGGCCAGCAGACACCAGTCCTTACCGAGCGGGTCGGCCGGGTCGAGCGCAGCGCAGAGGCGGCGGCGCGCGGCCACCGGCGCCACGGCCACCGGCAGCTCTGGCAGCCAGGTGAGGGCGCTCAGCAGCTGCTCAGCGCCGAAACACAGCAGGTCGGCCAGCGTGTCCGGCGGCAGCTGGCTGTGCGGCCCGTCAGCCAGCAGCGCGGCGGCCAGACGCTCGGGCGGCTGTACCACCGGCGAGCTGCGGTGCAGGCGCAGGCTGGTCGGCGACAGGTAGTGCCGCTCGATCGGCAGGCCCGGAGACATCTCGGTGAACACCTGGACGAAGGAGACGGGAGTCACCTCAGGGGAACGATACTACTGGATAAGTTACCCAGCCGGGAGGCGGACAATCGTCAATTCTAGAACATCGACCTGCTGACTGCTGATACATCATGCAACTTACGGCTGCTTGTTACATAGAGGGCCGTAGAAGGTAGCGCAGTTGTCGATCAGCACGAGCTCACTGCATCGTTAACACGCTCCGCGCCTGGCGTTACCGCATTGTCGCATTGCCGCATGCCGCATTGCATTGACGTTTGCATTGCATTGCCGCTCAGACATCCTGGTGAACCACATTAACCGACACTGAGGGGCTCGCGGAGGATTGTGGTGCACGGGGCCGCTCCGGGGAGCTGGGGGACTCTGCCGGCGCGAGCCACGTGTTCTGTGGCTGCTCTGTGGTCGGATAACGCGGCCTAATGATGATACCGTGCCGAGCAGCAGTCGGCACCCGTGATGGAGGCTAATTCAGCGTTCACTGCTCGCCACACGCCGGTCGAGCGCGGCCGTAATGCCGAGGCTCGACCACATCGCGGGTAGTTACGGAGAAATGACGCGTAGTTATCGAGAAGAGGCGCATGTAGTGTGGCGGGGAGTGGATTGACCGACACGCTCGGCCTACGAGTGCAGCTAGGGATTATAAAGGGCATGTAAATACGCAAAATGCCTACAAAATCACGCCAGCAGGCATCAGTGAAAAACTGACAGGCTCAAACGTAACCGGAACGTTTCTTCTGCTCTCGGCAAGCTTTAATTTTCGGAGCAGAATATTATTTTTACCAATACGTCGACTACCTACCAGCATTTCCATTTGCATACTGGACCGCAATTCCGCCTCGGTACCTATTTAGGCTGACGTCAAACGATGAAATGATATGTACTGATAGCATTCGATAAGGTAATAGGAGACCGACACCCAATTCCCTCCATCGTGACGCAAACAGTTCCACCCACAACATCAGATTTGTTTTCATCAACCTATCGCCTTATCCGTCCTAACACGTCAATTGACTGCTCTTTAGAATAGAGTTGCATATCCGCGAGCAGTTCTACTCCACTCGAACGACAAGGATCCTATACGTCATTCTGATGACTTCATACACTTATCGCAACGCTTCATCGTACCACTTTCACAATGCGTCACGGTAAACAGCATCACACATCCCTTCCCTGAAGGTTGCACCCAGAGTCCCCCCCCCCAGTTACCCCACCCACCTGGTCGAGCGCTGCCAGCAGGTCCTCCAGCAGGTAGAAGCAGGCGGCGCGACTGTCGGTCGGACCTCGCACCTTCAGCTCCAGCTCGTCACCACCGGGAGGCATGGTCAGCAGGCTCTCCAGCCGGTCCGTACAGAACTTTGAGCCCTCCGACCATTGGTACAGGTCCGTGTCGCGCGACGGGTACTCCTGGGCAAAGTGACGCAGCTGCACCTGGAGGGGGCGGGGGACGAGGAGAGCTGTCATAGCCGACCTCAACACGCCATGAGAAAACGTCGGCTAGAGGAAGATTGACGTGGACCACAGAACTGGTTCTACGAGTATTTATGTTCCATAAAATGTCCATGGGAACGGGGTTTATAAATTGCGTACCCGAGGGTGAAGAAACCCGTGTGAGCAGCTGCTATCTTCGTACGACAGTAGTATCTATAAAAATAGAACGTACCTGAATGCGTGAGAAGAAGGATCCCATGAGGCACTCGGTGCCTGGCGGGGTGCGCAGCCTCAGACCGCCGTAGCAGAGCTCGGGGGCGGCCGGTGGCGGCGGCGGCGGGTCCCACAGGCCGTCCAGCGTCTCCACGTAGTTGTAGCAAGGGAACTCGTACTCAATCTCACCGTCGTTGTCACACTGGAACATGCATATTTGGCTGGTGAGAGCTGGAGAGGGTTCAGGTCTGACGATGTTGATTGAAGCGTACTCACCAGCGGGAATATCACACATTTTCTACATGTCTAGGGGCTACCTTTTAAAGGCGAGACATTGTGATTGTGTAACAGGCCGCGTGTGGTTTCTGGGTGTTTGAATAATAACAATAGGGTAAGGTGCCTAATTAGCGACCCTTTCCGATTTGCGACCTACCTCCCTACAGAAAAACTGGCAGGAGAAAACGGGGTAAAAACATCGTCAAAAGGTCAGCCATACTTTGGTTATCAAATTAAATTATTTTCCGGTCGTCGATGTTTCTGGTGGGACGTTTCAGGTGAGTTTAAATAAAAATGACGAGTTTCTTATCCACAATGTGTGTGTTTGGGCCCTCTCTGACGAAAAGCGATGCACATTAGGATGATGCACCTTTTTTATTCTTAATCGACATTCCTTTTTTAATTGATTGCCGTTTCCCCATAGTGAATCGCTCAACTGTGCACAGCTCATGGCGGTTAAAAATGTGTCGCAACTCATATTTCCTATTTGCGCCTGACATGGTCGCAAATAGCTCAAGAAGGGAAAGAAAGGGGAAAAGAGAGAAATGAAAATGAGGTGTTGCTGAGGCTTGCAATGTGTGGCAGGGGATGCCAAATGTCGTCACCGACTGCAGGGGTGCCGAATTCAGCGCGCACCTCGAATATCATACAAGATAGCCCGCAAAATTTGGGTTTCCGCCTTCTTTTCGCCTTCGGTGCATCACGTGATCAGTTTTTACTTACGTAAATGTGTTGGATAAACGTTCCTGTTCGAGTGATTGAGTGCTTTGCGTATAGGTTACCTTTTTGAGATCATATTTCATCTTTTCAAGCGTCACATTTTTTGCCATTTTTAATATGGGGAAACCCATAGACTTATTAGCGACCCTCCCCGGTCGCTAATCGGGAAGAGTTCCCTATTAGCGTTTTTTGCAATGGTTTGCCAAAATGCTCACTACAAATAAGTTAGTGAATATTGGGGCAGAAAATGACTATATTTTAATAGAAAAATGAACGATCTCTCCGAAAATCAAGCCAGTAACACAGTGGCGCCTACAGAGCGTGAGCAATGACGGTTCAAATTAAGGGGGTCGCTAATTAGGCACCTTACCCTATTTGCGGCAGTCCCGATAATTTGGAATGCTTTCTGAAAGTCACTACACTTACACTTTATCAAGATATCATGCCATTAGGCACAAGTTAAAAAATGATTAGGTAAGGTAGCTACCATTGAACCTAGTCCTTCAGGGATACAAAGAATGAGCATGAAGTTCTTTCGCAAGTTAACAACATCAATTAACAATAATTTTGATCACTAATGGACGCAGTCAAACAGGTTTAAGTGTTAATCATACGACAAAAGCAAAGGTATTGAAGAAATGTTGAGCATTATAAGCCGCACCACGCTAGGGGGGGGGGGGGAGGGCAATGATACGAGTAAAATTCTGATGAGTAGACGATAAAAAACGTTACTGCGATTTACACACACCAGATATCTCTAAAAAGTCGCGCTATTCATGAATCAGTCTACCGCATACCGTTTACACTGAATGTGTCATAAGTCAGGGTTTTGTCGTAAAAATCGTTAGCCACAACAGGGTTCGGCTCCATGCCACCAGCTACCAGCATCCAAAGCATATAATTACACATGAGTTAGACGGAGTGCCGGCTAAATATACTTTCGTCCTAGTCACACCCTTGTCAAAACACTAGCCACCCGGTTGTCAAAGCAGTAACAACAATGGCGGCTCTGTAGTCACCAGCCTGTAAATTCACTAGTCACAGCGTCCCTTTACCAGTCGGTTGGTAAGTGTGGTTCCCATTACCAGTCAGTTGGTAAATATGGTAACTATTTACATCATGTCGGCGCTGCAGGCGCCACAAGTCTGACCTGGAGCTGACATCCAACCATGAGAGCTAATTACGCCTTCTGGCGCCTCGGCTGCCTTTCCGCGCCTATAACATGTTCAACAGGTCATCGATGAGATATAAAATAGTAGTACCTAATTTGACAGGGGTGTAGTATCCGCTTCTTTTCATAATTTGTGCTTTATATGTTCTGTCATAGATAACATGAATCATACCGGGCTTCTCAAAAAAGTTAGACGAATTTCTTTTGCGAATAGAGGACCCCTAACAACATTTAAGCAAAATCAATGCACGTGAAAAAACGGAGAATTTTTCGTAGATTTAGGGTGCGTTCGGAGAGGCAGATTCCCGGGGAATATTCCACGCCGGCATGAAATTTCCGCCGAATGTGCCGTTCGGAGAGCGATTCCCGGGGAAAGTTCCGCGGAACGGACGCAGAAAGCGCGGAATCTAAAAAGCATCTCACGCGTCGTTCCCGTCAAGATGGCGGCGCCCATCGGTATGCTCGAGTGAGTATATTATTGAATATAAATGGATATTTCTTGCGTTTGTTTCTACCCTGATCAGTTATATTGCAAATCCAACAATTGATAATGCTTACTCAGTTGTGTGATTGTCCTCTGAAGCAATGAAAACGATAATTTGAAGTGTTGTGTTGTGTGTGTTTGGGGTGGGCGGGGGGGGGGGGGGGAGGGCACAGTACAGATGGGACTTTTTGAAAATAATTGTGATTTTTCTTAGTTGTTCTTTCTTCAAGAGTTTCATTCTTATTACATCTTGCCATAGATGTAGCGTTCCAAATAACCAAATAACCCAAATAACCCAAACAAAATCCCACGAACTCAACTTGGCGCAGTAGCGGCGATCCTTGAAATTGGCGGTATGGAATGTCCCTCTCCGAACGCAACACGGGGAATTTGCACGATGACGGGGAATATTCCGCGCTCTCCGAACGCACCCTTATATGACACCATGGTTTGAGCTTGGTTTGAGCTTAAAAAATGAAGCCGTGTTCTTAGGAAGTAAAAGCAAAACTCGTGAAATTATGCTTTCCCAGACATGTCCGTGAAGTTAGCGTCAGCAACAGCAACGAATACAGCGTCGGATTCAGAATCGCTTAAAAAACTCATATTAGGTCAATTGGGGGACGGGGAGCAAGAATATGACCTTTATTTGGCCCTAGCTCTTACCCCTTACCCCTTAATCGGCCCTTAAAGGACGGGGCGCGTCAAAAGTGCCTCAAGGGTTCGTCTGATCGCCAAAATAAGGGTCGCAATCGATTCCCCGGGTCAATATCTAGCCGCAGCCTTGGGTTCCAGATGTGTGCAACTTACCCCTTACCCCTTAATCGGCCCTTAAAGGACGGGGCGCGTCAAAAGTGCCTCAAGGGTTCGTCTGATCGCCAAAATAAGGGTCGCAATCAATTCCCCGGGTCAATATCTAGCCGCAGTCTCGGGTTCCAGATGTGTGCAACTTACCCCTTACCCCTTAATCGGCCCTTAAAGCACGGGGCGCGTCAAAAGTGCCTCAAGGGTTCGTCTGATCGCCAAAATAAGGGCCGCAATCGATTCCTCGGGTCAATATCTAGCCGCAGCCTCGGGTTCCAGATGTGTGCAACTTACCCCTTACCCCTTAATCGGCCCTTAAAGGACGGGGCGCGTCAAAAGTGCCTCAAGGGTTCGTCTGATCGCCAAAATAAGGGTCGCAATCGATTCCCCGGGTCAATATCTAGCCGCAGTCTCGGGTTCCAGATGTGTGCAACTTACCCCTTACCCCTTAATCGGCCCTTAAAGGACGGGGCGCGTCAAAAGTGCCTCAAGGGTTCGTCTGATCGCCAAAATAAGGGTCGCAATCAATTCCCCGGGTCAATATCTAGCCGCAGCCTCGGGTTCCAGATGTGTGCAACTTACCCCTTACCCCTTAATCGGCCCTTAAAGGACGGGGCGCGTCAAAAGTGCCTCAAGGGTTCGTCTGATCGCCAAAATAAGGGTCGCAATCAATTCCCCGGGTCAATATCTAGCCGCAGCCTCGGGTTCCAGATGTGTGCAACTTACCCCTTACCCCTTAATCGGCCCTTAAAGGACGGGGCGCGTCAAAAGTGCCTCAAGGGTTCGTCTGATCGCCAAAATAAGGGTCGCAATCGATTCCCCGGGTCAATATCTAGCCGCAGCCTCGGGTTCCAGATGTGTGCAACTTACCCCTTACCCCTTAATCGGCCCTTAAAGGACGGGGCGCGTCAAAAGTGCCTCAAGGGTTCGTCTGATCGCCAAAATAAGGGTCGCAATCGATTCCTCGGGTCAATATCTAGCCGCAGCCTCGGGTTCCAGATGTGTGCAACTTACCCCTTACCCATTAATCGGCCCTTAAAGCACGGGGCGCGTCAAAAGTGCCTCAAGGGTTCGTCTGATCGCCAAAATAAGGGTCGCAATCGATTCCCCGGGTCAATATCTAGCCGCAGCCTCGGGTTCTAGATGTGTGTAACTTACCCCTTACCCCTTAATCGGCCCTTAAAGGACAGGGCGCGTAAAAAGTGCCTCAAGGGTTTGTCTGATCGCCAAAATAAGGGCCGCAATAGATTCCTCGGGTCAATCTCTAGCCGCAGCCTCGGGTTCCAGATGTGTGCAACTTACCCCTTACCCCTTAATCGGCCCTTAAAGGACGGGGCGCGTCAAAAGTGCCTCAAGGGTTCGTCTGATCGCCAAAATAAAGGTCGCAATCGATTCCCCGGGTCAATATCTAGCCGCAGCCTCGGGTTCCAGATGTGTGCAACTTACCCCTTACCCCTTAATCGGCCTTTAAAGGACGGGGCGCGTCAAAAGTGCCTCAAGGGTTCGTCTGATCGCCAAAATAAGGGTCGCAATCGATTCCCCGGGTCAATATCTAGCCGCAGCCTCGGGTTCCAGATGTGTGCAACTTACCCCTTACCCCTTAATCGGCCCTTAAAGGACGGGGCGCGTCAAAAGTGCCTCAAGGGTTCGTCTGATCGCCAAAATAAGGGTCGCAATCGATTCCTCGGGTCAATATCTAGCCGCAGCCTTGGGTTCCAGATGTGTGCAACTTACCCCTTACCCCTTAATC